TGTGTGCGTGCTTGCTGACCATGTAGAGCCAGCACTTGTAGTTACTCTAACCCCGAGCATCCAAGCTAACCTGGAATACCCCAGGGCATCCACGCCAGCCTGGAATACCCCAGAGCATCCGGAAAAACCTGGAATACCTCATCAGAGCATCCAAGCTAAGCTGCAATACCCCAAAGCAATGCCAAGTGCAATGTGTAATGCTGTACCTGTCGTAGGCCACTGGAAGCGGCAGTGGATACGTGGAATTGAGGAAAACAGAGCAACTCATGCAGTTGAACCGCAATAAATTCTGCCACCGGGGAATCGATTCAAGGACGAGGAAACTAGCGGGAGACGCAGGGAGAGAGGAAGAACAGCGCTCATGAGAGAAGCAGTAGGCAGACGGAGTAGGCAGAAGTACGCCGGTGGTCCAGCTACAGACCCATGACACCCAGTTAAACCGGGAATGGGATACTCCCACTCCTTCTTCACGGCCTATTTTAGTCATTTTCGGTTAGTTTGAGAGTGGAGATCATTTTACAGCCATCGTCCATCATCATCATCGTCAATTTCACTAACTGTCGCTTACGATCTCGTCCTCGCCTCCGTCCTGCTGTCTTCAGCATCGTTACCATAAGTACCCTCGCCCTGATCTTTTTTTTTTTCTTTTTTTTTTTTTTTAAAATCTCCATTAGGGCAAGACCGGTATTTTTGCTACGATACTTGTCTGAACCAGCATATCTGCAATTTGCCCTCTCCATTACACACACGCACAGACACACACTCACAGATTAGCACACACGCACACTCACAGATTAGCACACACACACACGCACACACACACACACACACACACACACACACACACACACACACACACACGCGCGCGCGCGCATGCAGACAGGGCGAGGCAGACTGCCTGTTATAGGGCTTGCAGTTCAGGTGAAACCTTACGACGATGCACACACACAGAAATGCTAATGGTAGCCAAAGGAGAGAGCATACGACTGTCTATCATTTACCAATATTTGGTGTTGTTGTTGATAAGTTGTGAGTTCGGTCAAACATAGGTCAATCGCAAAACCAACACGGAACCCCATACATGCAAGCGACTCAGCAGACAAAGAGATGGAAGCAACCCAATTGGCAGAATATAAGATTTAGTCCAGGTTCTTAAATTATGAAAAATCGCCCCGATACCAAAAAAAGAAAAAAGGAAAAAAATTAATTAAAAAATTGTGAAGCACGAACACGAGGAGTCGATCGAAAGGCCGAAGTTATATCGCGACCGCAACATCACTCTGCTGGGATATCCCCGATCTACCAGTCTTTGTGTTCGTACCCTGCCACCCATCAGATCCTCCTATGACTGCATCACGTGCACATGATTGTCGATACTGGACCCCGACAAACAACAGCGCGCGCGGTGGCTCTTCTGCGATTTCCCTCTACCGGTTCTCGGTTCCTTTGAATCCTTTTCGAACGTCTGCTTTCCCTACTGTTCATGGATCCTACCCTATGGGACCTAAAGGTGAGACTACCCGAGACCACTGACTAATGTGATTTACAGACAACTGCGCTTTTGCATCCACACGCAACCCCCGCAACACTCGGACGCGTGCGCGCGAGCGCGGAAGCGTGCACATAGGCAACCGCAAATTTTCTTGTACATTGATCTAATTGAGTAACGCTGCGACGAGACTGTTTGTACACTGATCTAATTGAGCAACGCTGTGACGAAACAATCCGTCACATTCCCTCCTCCCTCTCTCTTATCCCTCCTTCCCTTGTGTATGCTGATACCGGACGCCAAATAGCAGAGCAACTTAAGAGCGGGGGTAGGAGTAGATGGGGGCAGTTTCCCGGCTTGGGGCACGCCACGTGTATCACGGTGTATGTTACAGATCGTGGCAGCCCTCGCAACGTGTCACACGTGGCAGCATCACCTGGCGC